CCCAAGCCATTAACAACACTCACCAACCAAAATCAAATGTATTTCATTTGACTGTAAAATTTGTATATTAGATATATCAGTTTCTGAGTATTGTTTTGTGGGTTTAATGGCGGTTGTGTCGAAGAAATGTAAAGAGCAAAGGGAAATTAGCCCTGAGAGAACTAAGGTGTGGAAGGAGCCTCCAAATAGCAAGCACCGGAAAGTTCCAGTTCTGTATTACCTTTCCAGAAATGGGCAGCTCCAGCATCCCCATTTCATGGAGGTTCATCTTTCCTCTAATCAAGGCCTCTATCTCAGAGGTAGGTAGAGCTTTACATTTTTGTTTATAATTACCGATTTTGGAACCCCGCGGTTGGAATTTTTGATGTTTTTGTCTCTTCAGATGTGATCAATCGCTTGAATTTTCTTCGTGGAATAGGCATGGCTTCGATGTATTCATGGTCTTGTAAACGGTAATTGGTTTGAATTGTAATCTATTTTTGCTCTGTTTTCTGTAATTTTTTTGTGAAATATTGAATCCGGGGATTGATTGATTCAGGATGTATAAGAATGGATTCGTTTGGCACGATTTATCTGAGAACGATTTAATCTACCCTGCGCATGGTCAAGAGTACGTTCTCAAAGGGTCGGAGCTTGTGGACAACACGTTGTTTGAAACGGATTCTTCTTTAGTTTCGAAGACGAATCTGCCACCGCCGCTTGAAACCGCGAGGGACGGCGAGGAGGAGGTAGATATTCCGGCTATGCACAGACGGCGGCGGAACCAGTCTTGCAGCTCGATCGACCTCAACTTACAGGAGTACTGCGTATACAGAGCAGAATCCTCCGGAAGCGCCTCCGCCGATGCGTCCACTCAGACCGACGATAAGGGGCGGAGACACCACCACGCCCGGCGACCACTCAGAGAAGCTGAAGAAAAACAGCATCACGATATCGTAGAAGAGAATAGCGAGATCGAGATTTCACCACCAGCATCAAATTCAAGCTCCGAAACCTTAGAAACGTTAATGAAAGCCGACGGCCGTCTTATCCTTCAACCAGAGACAGTCAACGAAGGTCAAACGGCCAAAAATCAAAGGTCCAAAACGACATCAATTCTGATGCAATTAATATCTTGCGGTTCACTTCCGTTTAAGGACTGTGGTCCTGGACAAGGATTGAACATAATCTCCCAGTACAAGTTCAGACTGCCACGCAGCAGAGGATCAGGGGAGTTGACTGCAGGAACTGGAAGAGCAAAATTGGAGGGAAAAGAATATTTCAGTGGGAGCATAGTAGAGACTAAGAAAGAGGAATTTCTAGCTCTGAAAAGATCCTCTTCTTTCAATGCAGATAGGTGAGTTTTATTTTCACTGTATATCATTACAGTATCCAGTGTTCTTTTTGTATGCTACACTGTAACAGTTTTAGTCCCGTTCAGTATTGTCTCGTCTACTCCTTATCCCGTCTTCGAAAAATCCCGAACCAAGCAAGGGACAAAGAGGGTTGCCATGGTCTCGACCCGTTGTCATCCCTAAAAAACACACTGGTCACATCTATGCAGTCAATGAATGTTTGAATTTTAACCAAAACAAAAAGTTTCTTTAATGTAAGCTAGTCGGTGTTACTTTTTGCTTTTTAGGATATGTTCCTATGTTTCATATTCGATGAATTTTCTGTATTTTGGATTTTGTGGTATAAATTATCTTGAGTGGCCCCAATCAACTCGTGCTTTGACTTGGGAGTTTGAATATGAATTGAAAAACAAAAACTTTTATCTTTATTTTAGTTTTCAATTCCCAACATGGGTGATTCATCTAATTTTGCCCCCATTTGACATCCTTATAATTCTAAAAACATAGTTTCAAATTGTATTTTTTGAAAAATGTGTAGTTAAAAAGTGGAGAAAATTTTTAAATTTACGTATAAAATATTTTATAGTATAAATATGTTATTAAAAATAAATATAAGAAATAAATTAAATTAAATTTGGAGATGTAAAACAGGGATTTTATGGGTTATTGTTTTTTAACGAGTTAATTTCACAAACGGTCACTGAAGTTATCTGAAAATTACAAAACGGTCACTGAACTTTAAAATTTGCAGAAACGGTCACTGAAATTTAAATATCTTTCACAAACGGTCACTGAATTTTCAAATTTTTTGGGCAAATTTTGCGGCGGTTTTCCGGCTACTTCCGACCACAAATACCACCGGTTTCGGATACCATTGGAAGCCCACAATATCATCTTCAATTACCATGAAAAATCTCCCCATAACTCTAACGGATTCGACCGGAATAAACCCACGA